CCCCCCGTCCGAGCATCCAACATAACCCGCCCACACAGAGTTATCTCCGCCGCTGTCGAAAGTGGACTTCGCGCAGCAAGACGAGAGAGGGGGGTACTGTATCTTGTGCCAAATAGTTGGGTAAATGTATTCCTGTCCATGACAAAGACGCGTCTCGCCTGGTGTGATGGGACGGCCGTAATAAATAAATAGCTGGCCGGACCGTTCGGATTATTATTCAGTTTATATCGCCTGTCAAGCAAGAATAAATCATCGCGTAAGTGCATTATACTGTCCACGTCGTTTTATGCAACAAATATTCTGAAATTATGCACACTGAGCCCAAAATTGTGAAATTATGCGATTCTGTTAAATTTGATAAAAAATGATAAAGGAAAGTAATCAGAAATTATGCAACAAAATGATCGCGTCTGTCTGCAGCAAGGCGAGTGGCCTGTAGGAGGGACATCCCGTGAGTTCTGAGGAGTGTGCTACAGATTCACTCCATCGTTGCCTTGGTCTTCCTCAGCCAGAATATTTAATGTTGTATGCTCTCAGAGCTGGATGGTTTGAGGGCATCCGCGTGAGGTGTCCGAACCACTTGATCTTTTGTTTTTCAATGTATGGTAGGACTGGTGTTGCTCCTACGGTGTCCCTTATGAATTTTTATTTTTATTTTCTCTCTTCATGAAATCATACATAATTTCGTTAATAAAGGAGTCGGGCTAGTTTTGACTGCGTCCATCTATTTTATGAAAACTTAGACAGGATTTACGGTGGAAGCCAGGTTGTTATACTCGATGGTGCCAGATATGTTCACGTCGCTACCAAACATATCTTTTGAGAGCCGCTCAACCATAACACCACTGAAGCCAACATACGGACTCTACTCAGGATCAGATATTCATGAAATGGCTTTTTGTTTTTGTTTACTGGCCTAAGTGTTTTACGTCGCTTGCAACTGCATAAGGTCACATGAGCGCGCAGGACACACCAAACATTTACGGTAGGTGTGAAAATTTGAATTTTGCCCGGGTGGACGCCAAAGCCTACTTTTATCAATTTTGAACCACCAAGGGATCTTTAACGTGCACAACTTGCACCCTTGTCTGAGAAGGCAAGGTGTAGATCTATCCTGCCATAAGATAAGAGGTGTGGCTGAAAGACAACAACAAGAAGGAGCCAAGGAGAAGCAATAGAAAGGCTGCAGAAAGAGTCAGGAACCCGGGCCAGAGTAGGGGGCAAAGGAGGTGAGGGGGGTGAGGGCAGAAATTGAGACGAAAGCAGACAACAGAACATTGTTAGAGAGCAGGAAAGAATGTGAAAGGAGAACATTTATTGATAAAAGAAAATATTCTTTAGTACCCGGATTCGAACCCGGGACCTTTGAATGAGAGGCGAACACCTTAACCTCTAGGCCGTGAGAGCCCCTTAAGAAATGCTGGAACTTACCTGCTTTATATAAAATGAATAGAAAGTAGATAGGGTACGGGATTACTGTTATAATACATGTAATACTTTACAATGCGCAAAGTAATCGCTGTGCATACTCAAAGAAAAGGAGGAGCTGTATGTTTAGTCAATAGTTCATAACATTTGCAGTATTTTGTACACAGGTTAACCCTATCCGTATGTCGTGTTTTGCTATCGTATCCATACGACGAGGGTAACTCTGTGCCCAGTGGCGGTGGGTGGTGAAGGGCTCACGGGCTTGAGCCCCTACCCCCTCCCCAACCACCACCCCCAACTCTATCCGAAAGAAAATGAAAGTTTCTCCATAATGAAATAAACAGTCGAAACCGTTATGACCGCACGCAATGAACATAGAGTGATCAACTTGGCGGCTTGCCCGCTTATCCAATCACTGTTGTCACCGCTTACAACTATAGTAACCCAGCAGCCAATCAAATGTCTTTAGGGCTCAGCAAAGATGAGCCCTTTTCCCACAGCCCGTCCTAAATGAAACTCTTCTTGTAAAAGGGTAGAAGACTGGGAAAAAATAACACTGTACCGAGGGCTCACGCTCTCCTAGCCCTGACAATGGGGTGAAAGTTTACGAAACACTTTCCCCCACTGACACAGATACCTAGCTATGCGCTCATTGGTTTTTTGTTGGGTGCGTTAAACTTTCTCGACTACACGGCATAATCCAGCTCATAGAAGTATTATGTTTGAAGTGCTGTGTGTGAGCATATTTGAGTTTGTGCTGCTGAAATTTAACAGTTATAAATCAGGTCGAACTACTTGTAAGGCAACTTTTTCGTCACACGAAAACTAACTAGAGGAAATTTGGAGGTGAATCGGCTTCGTCCCCACTATCAATAAGAATTTAACCAAAAACAAAGGGATTGAAAACAAAGGCAACTTTTCTCGTTTGAATGGTTCTCAAACTGCCGTGGCTCTCCGTGAGTATAGAAAAATCATCACTGTTTAATTCTTATTGCTTGCTATTTGGTGGAAAAGAACTGGAAGCAACCTGAGCCCACCCAAATTTTGGTCCACCCACCGCCACTGTCTGTGCCACCACTTTCCAAAGAGGAAATTTACTCGTTAATCCGATCCGTACGCTTTGCATACTAGTCTGTCAAAATGATTTTTAGAGAAAGACTGAAAGTTTCAAAGAGATATCGCACTAGAAGTGTTTTAAAATATGAAGAATACAACCCTGGGGGTACAACATGTCCCCAGGGCGTAAGGATAGGGTTCGTCTGCAACTTCAAGAGCGACAATAATAGCAATAATAATTAACAGGTTTTTGCAGCTCCCTCTCCCCAATTAGGCTTTATACTTTTTTACGTCAATAATGAAATTGGTCAATTAAGCGACATTTGATGTAAAAAAAGTATTTACAGTTACTGTCATCCGTACCCACACGTTAATTGTCAGACAGTCAAGGATACGCGCGCGCGCGCGCACACACACACACACACACACACACACACACACACACACACACACACACAC